TTGTTTGCATATCATTATAGTATTGTTATCGTTGCGTACCGTTTGCAAATTGTATACATAAAAATATATCTAAACGGTAATCTTTAATTGGTCGAATATAAATCGGTATCAAAAAGGTTCTTGATATTGAGACATTTCTCTTTGCGATTTCGGCTTTTCTAGACAAGGAATAGTTTGCGGCGACACTTTTAGGAAATCTCTTTAGCCAACTAAAACTAAAAATAAATACATAAATACACCGTACATAAATTGTATATATATATAAACCCAAAGGTTCTGTGAGTATACACTTTAGTCTTTTCTGACGTATCGATTTTAAGAGGTCCTTTAAAAAGATTAAGGTTTTCGTCGTTAACGAAATATCTGATTGTACACATTTTTTTCTTTTACACTAATCAGAATAATTTGTAGAGTAATTTAAAAAACTTATTTTATTTTATGTTTTTGCATAAATTTATGTAAAGCTAAAGTGTTTCTCTAAAGACTTTAAATTTTTTTTATTTTTTACTTCATTACTTTAAAAGTTATTGTTCATTACAGTTTTTGTGCTTATATATATATATATATATATATATATATATATATATATATATATATATATATATATATATATATATATATATATATATATATATATATATATATATATATGTAGCATTATGGTTATATATGGTTATATACAAATAGATTACATATATATATATATATATATATATATATATATATATATATATATATATATATATATATATATATATATATATATATATATATATATATATATATATATATATATATATATATATATATATATATATATATATATATATATATATATATATATATATATATATATATATATATATATATATATATATATAATCTATTTATATATAACTATAATGCTTTTTATTAACTTTTTAATTAGTCAAAATCTTCTGTCGTCAGCTGATTTTAACTTTTTTTTCATTCTTGTTACATGTTTATTAATTGTTATGTTTGAACACCGTATATACCATTACTCTATTTTTATACCAAATGAGAAATTATTAAAGATATATAGGGGTTAGGTATAAATTTTTTTGCAGAATATATAGTTTAAAATAATATATAAAATTTAAAATAAACTTTATCCGCTTTTTATATTCATATTAAAAGTTTGTAATATTTCAAAAAAAATCGTCAAGAAGCGAATAAAGGTTTTTATTAAATTAAACATTTTATTCTAAAATATAAAAAATCATTTTTTAAAAAAAAAAAAAAAAAAAGTGATTAAAATAATGTGTTAATACTTTTATTTGCAAGTTTTTTTAAATAATAATAAAAACATTTACTATGAAGTTAATGTTTTTATATATTTAGCGCTCGGGATTCTTAAAGTAAAAAAAAAAAAAAAAAAAATAGATCTCGTCAAAATATTTCTTGCGTAAAATAATTAAAAATGACAAGTCCAATATCATTTAATGAGTAAATACTATTGTTTAAATTTTTTCAGCTAAAATTAATTAACTGTTGACTTTTACATCTATAAAATTTATACAAAAAATCTTTAAAATAGTGTATAACTTGAAGTTGCGTTGAATTTACAAAGATGACTATTGCATACGATTATCCTTCAAACTTAATTCTTTGTAAAATTCAACAGGGTCTATTGATCTGCTTCCGTAAATTCCTATTCATAAAAAGCATAGGAACAGGAAAAGGTTTTACCGGAAACGCTAATACACTCATTTAATGTTTTGTCTTTTTCCTTAAATTAATAGGCATTTGATAACGAGCTTGAATCAGTAAGTACAACAGTTTGCGTTTCAAAGTAGCTATCGCGTTTCAAACTGTCTAGATGTTCAATTTCTAAAATAAAAAAAAAGATGTTAAGAATGATTTTATTGACAGCATTTCTAGCAAATATACTTTTTGGAATTAAAACAACCCGTGTTGCGGAGTATACTAAAAATGAACAGTGTATTACGACAAAAACCACCCAGATAATCTCGTCGAAAGGATGTGAAAATAAAACTATTGAGAACAATTACTGTCATGGCCAGTGTGTATCTGGATTCATTCCTGAAAAGGGGGTTGTTGGAAAATACGTTTGCAGATCGTGTCAACCTACAGTTGTAATAACAAAAAAATTTTTACTGCAATGCGTTGATGGTGTACGTGAACATCAAGTTAAAATTTTTGGAGAATGCGAGTGTAAAAAAAATCCATGTAATCAAATAAAATTATTTCCTAAAGTAGAAACATCTTTTGTGCCTCCATGTCGCAACATATGTCGAAGTTGTCGTAAAGCCAGGCGAATTTATAAAGAAAAAACTGAAGCTAGCGATAAAATAGAGCTGCTAAATTTGACATGTACAACAAAAGAGTGCTTAAAACGCATCAATAATCAAGCTCTCAAAAATACAAGATTGGCAAACCTTTTAAAGAAGAAACTATGTTTTAAGTGCAAAACGTGCCGAAGAAACAAAAATCGAAAATTTGACTATGATGAATTTGAAAATTTAAATAACGTTAGTAGTCGAAAGAAAATAAATATTCCAAAATGGATGATGTAATTTTGCATGTTTCAAAAGATAATAAAATCTATTTTAAGCTATAACTTCATTAAACATAAAAAAACATTGTAATATATATTTAAATATTTATTTCTTATTATTTTTTATACTATGCGTATTTTTTTAAAAAACTATTTAGTTTTTTATTTATTGACTTCTTCTCGCAATTATAAAATAGGAAGCTGTTTATTTATAAAACGCAACTTTCAAAATTTCCTTCTGGGTCATTTTTTTAAAAAAAAATTGATTTAAGCCTTGCTTAAGAGTTTGGGCTTTGTTTGTGAGTTGTAGAATCGTAATATATATATATATATTGTTTTAGAAGAAAAATTTTTATATTATCAATTTCTTATTATCATTTTATGTAAAAACAAATGTCGAAAATAAATATATGAAATATTTTACAAAACTTTATTTATTACCTACTTCATGTATACGCACGAAATATATTATAATAAAAAAAGTTTATATAATATATGTCTTATACAAAATACAACGCGCATGTCGACATAATCTATAAAATTGTGTTTATATATATATATATATATATATATATATATATATATATATATATATATATATATATATATATATATATATATATATATATGACACACACAAACATATTAAATTCCAGAAACAAATTGCTTTTGATACTAAAAATTAAAACTTGATTTTTAACCTAGATACTAATCAACGCACGTTAAAACTTTAAAAAACGTATCTAAAAGAAGTGATTCAAAACTGTTGAGAACTCACTTATATATAGCTTTTTTGTCTTAAAAAACAACAGATTTGTTCAGTTGTGTGTCTTTATTATGATACTTTTAATCCATATACCATAGAATATTTTTGCACAACATTTTAAAAATGTAATAAGTTCAACTTTCATTGTCTAACTTTTTCCTTTTCATATATTTATTGATAATAGGTGAAAAAAGGTTAATTTAAAGAATGATTAAAATTGACAATCTACCCTTGAAGTAATTTTCAAATATTCAATATGCTCCTCTTAACCATTTCCTATGTTTTTGTAATATCTGTATTGTTGAATAATTATTTCACATTTTTAAGTTACAAGAGAGAATTAAGTGACATACAAAGTGAGAGATTTGACGTCATAATAATTTTACAAATAGGTACGTTTTAAGTAATTAAACATTTATAAAATAATTTATTGACAAAGAACTTTTACACAGGCCAACTTGGAGTGAACTTATACAAAGAACTTATACACAGACCAACTTGGTTTTTTTTTTCTTAACGTTTATTATAATATGTGTAAGAATTTTGTTAGATTAAAGAAATAAGTAACAACTACTCAAAGTTCCACAAATAAGAGTTTGTGGATTTGTTTTATTAAATATATATATATATTTTTTATCATTAGAAGGAATTTAATAGTTAGATAACAAACTATCGTAATTTAAAGTTTAATCGTTGCGTCTCCAAAAAGCGCTAATGAGTCCAAAAAAGAAAACATTTGACATCAATTATATAATCTTGTCTTTGTTCGTGATAATTTCAATTAGATAGAGAAATCAAAAACTCATTTTTTGATAAATTTCAACATTTTAACCATAAAAAAAGTTTAATTTTAACCTCAACAAAAGCCTTGTTCCGGTTTACGGATGTACTTTTTAAATCGCTATACTCTTTAGTAAGACAAGTAATTCGTAAAAATAAAAGTTTGTTAAATTACGAAACATATTTGTTAATTTTTTTTTTCAGGTAACGGTTTCCAGGATCAGCAGTAATTAAATAATACTATAAAAATCAAAAGAATTTTTTTTTGCCGACGCACTATATAGTTTATTAAAATTTGGAACCAGGATTAAATCTTTATGTTGATATTCTAATAAACTATTGTATATCAGAAAAATAGAACGTAATTCATAATTAGCTTTATAACTTATTTGTTATTATTATATATTTTTAAATCTTGCGTATATTACTTTGTAATAGATTTTGCCTTTGGCAATAAAAGTTTTTTTTTTCCTAACAGCTCAGAAATATTTAAGATTTTACTAAATTGAAATAATTTAATAAATTAAGCCTCATACATAATATACCACAGTTTGATTTCTGTCTTATTTTAATTGTAAGTATATAATTGAAACAAATCAATGCATCAAAATTAGTAGGACCATGATATACTACATCAAAAATACTTATTGTCTGAAGTAAAAACTGCAGGAATTTACCATTGGAACCCAAGTAATTTAAATTGAGAAACCGTCCCGCAGTCATTGCGTAAATACCACCGGAAATACACTCATAAGCTTAACAATAAACCGACAAAAGTATAGATAGCTCATTTTTAATCATTTTTGTCGAAGAGAAAGCAAAAACCGGTCCCGCCTTTCCTACGGAAGTTCTTGTAATATAAGAGCCTTAAATATTCACATTTTAAATAAAGTGAAATCAAAAAACACTGCAAAGATGAGGCTACTGGCAATTTGTTTTTTTCTCGTTCTTTGTTTTTGCACGTGTACTAGTTTAGACGTTGATAAAGATGTAATTATAAGAAACGATGATCTATTCTACGTCAAGAAAAAGACTTATACAATCGAACAGATTCAAGATATTTTAAGGAAGGGGCCATGCAAAAGTGTTAAATATACTCAGTATATAAAAAAAGAAGGTTGTTTTCCAGTTTCAGTAGAAAATAAAATATGCGGAGGAACTTGTAATTTAAACACTAATAAGCAAGAAGTCAAATGCGCTGCATGTGGACCTTCAAAAATAACTGAAGAGACATTAAAAATGCTCTGCAAAGAGTCGAATGCAGATGATGCGGAATTAAGACTTGTGCCAATAAAAACAAAAGTGGTAAAAGAATGCTCTTGCGAACAATATAAATGCACGAGCCTTTAAAACTGAATGTTTCTAATTTATTTATCACAGTAACTATTTATTCATCGTTTATTATTATTATTATTATTATTATTATTATTATTATTATTATTATTACTATTATTATTAATACTTTTATTTTTATCATTATTACTATTATTTTAATTTTATAAATATTATTATTAGTTTCTAACATCCTGCATAATATTCCTTATTTAAAAAAACTTTAAACGAATTTTTATTCAAATTTTTTTTAATTTTATTTATAACATTTTTATAGTAATAATTTATTCGTATTACTAAATATATGAAATATTTATTATATTTATATGTATAAAAAGTATGTAAATACGGTTCACGTTTTGCGCTAAAAATAAAAGGTGCTTTTATTTATATATATTAGTTTTCGTTATTTTTATTATTTATTTTGTTTATTAATTTTTGTTTTTCAAAGACTGCGTTATTTGGCGACTTTCTAAAACTACAATATAGCAAAAGAATTGTTTTAAAAAAAGTAAACATTTTTAATAATAATGTTTTTAATTAAAAATAATTTGTTTTCTTATTGCTTTTCTTCCTAAGTAAAAATTTCCCCAAAACGGCAAGTAAAAATTATTTGTGATAAAGAGAGCCAAAACATGCAAAATGAAACTTAAATGACCGAAGCTTTTGATCCTCCAAGTGTTTTAGTGTTATAGAAGAATCAGTGCTTTAATGCAGTTTGTTGTTTGTATGTAATAATTGAGTTTGTCATGTTTATAAAATGGATCGAAAAGTATTTAGAAAGATATGCAAAATAATTTAAAACCCAATAAACACATGCGTAAGCACAAGCGTACAGGCGTGTTAGACGATTAGAAGTCGTCTTTAGTAGACAATTAGAACACGTCTAAAAGATGTTTATATAATTTTAAAAAGTTGTTTATGTCTAAACACAAAACACACGATGTCTAAGCGCTGTTTACTAAGAAGCAGAAACAAGTTTTTTATTTTTACTTAATCAAAACTATCGAAAATTGAAAAGCGGATAAGTAAAATAAAAATCATTAAAATAACCAAAATCTTTTAAAAAATTATTTTAAAAGATTTTTCTTTTTTTTTTGTTTAGATAATGAATTTCGAACAATGAGTTTTCACTGTTTTATTTTTTAAAATATATATTTTGTTTAGCATATTTAAGAGCCATTAGTCAATTTGGTACCTTGTACAGAAAATACAAGGTTAACTCAAAAATAATTGATTAAATTTGTTTTTAGTTAGATATAGTACTAATTGCATAAATAACAATGTATTTTTATCTCCTTTATCTCCCACTGCAGATGCGCCTACTAACCCTAACTAACACAAACATTGTGCTTGTGATGATATAGAAAGTTTGAAAAGTTTAATGCATTCAAAATTACTATATCATTTATAGCGCTCTAAAAAAATAGAGTGTAAATCGGTGCAAAAGGTAAAGTGGTAAAAAAATTTTGACATAAAAGCAATTTTGTTACTTTTGATAATATAAGAAAAACAGATTATTTAGGCAAACCACAGTACTAATATTTATTATTTTAAATTATAAGTGTATTAGTATCAGTTGATCATATTTGATGTCTAATTTTATTGGTTCTTTATCATTTCTTGTTTAAAGCTATTAAGGTCAGTTTTCACTCATTTGTTTTTCTGCGGGAATTGAAAAGAATAGAAAAAATAATCACGTGAACACGCGTAGTATAAATTTTAGTTTGCTTGAAGCAAAGCTGCGCATGCTCTCGTAATTATTTTTACTAAAATAATCAGATTTAAAAATGCTAAAATTTTAAAAACAAATGAAATTTTATTTTTATTTTTGAAATCCTTACATAAATTTTTTTTTTAATCTTTAAAATTTAAAAACTAATAAGGTTTGTAGCAATAGAATATATTTATATTTTTTTATCATTATTTACGCAATATCGCAAATTTTTGAGAAGCCAAATAGTTAAAAGTTAACACCGTAAGTTAACCGATAATTTACCGATAAGACTGTTATAAATATTCGTAAGTTAATATGTTGAAAATCCCTTATCCATTTCTTCTTTTAATTTCTTAAAAAACTCCCAAAAAACCCATAAGTGAATAAATCTACAACTCTTTTTTTTACTTTTGTTTCAAATAGTTCGCAAAAAAAAAAAAGAGAGAGAGAGAGAAAACGTGTATTATCATAATTTTTTTTTTCTTAATTTATTTATTCACAAATTACGTCACGCAATTTTTGACCATTTTAGAACCCCTTCCCTCGTCACAACATCGTAAATCTTTAGCAACAAGTTCCATATGAGTTGTAAAAAATTATTATAAGCCAAAACATTTGGGATACTAAAATCAACGCTAGAAGGTAATATGGACGTCAGCAATCAAGTTTTGTGGGTGGGAAGACATTGCTTACTATACACAAAAATAACAACTGACATATAGACTATTTTACAGATGGTGGATTTTTATTGAAAACAAAGTTGTTTAAGTAATACTTATTTATTGGTAATTTGCCAATAAACTGCAATGTCATAATTAATTAAAAAAATTCTCGTCTACTACCTGACACATTTGACTTCATGTGGTTTCTGGTCGTGGACATCACATTTGATTTCATGTGGTTTCTGGTCGTCTTGCATTGAGAATTTTCTATAATTTTTTCGAACGATTGTTTAAAGTACGCCTAGAAACTTTTAATCAAGAACAAGTTTTGTGAAAGTAGTTAAGAATTACTCAGCATTAATTTGAAAAATCTACTGGTGCTAATATATATTTTCAATAATACTGTTTTGTTGTCTGCCAAAGTGTTATCAACAAAAAAATAATAATCAAAAGATTTAAAAGGCGTATCGTCAACCATAATGGCAGCTGTTAATGCCTCAGAGAACATTCTACCCTTATAATTTTCGACGGGAAACTGTTTCCGAACGGAATTTCTGTGAAGTGTAGTAACTTAAGTTACATTGTACAAGATTGAACAAGATGTAGTAAATTAACTTACATTGAACAAGGTATTGATTATTTTAAATTTCAACAATCATTGAAAAAAGAATGATAGGATAAAATGTAAAAAGGTTATATTTCTTTGACAACTCTCAAGTTCTGTATTCTTAATGAATGTTAAACTTAAAAAAATCGAAAACTGGAGACATACTAAATGTAAATAAATAAATAAAAACAATCTAAGACTTTGTCCACGCAACTCTCTGACGGACCATAAGTCTCATTGGGTTGTAATTGCTCCTAGAACTTATTTTAAATGCACTCACTTTTTATAGACTGTACTCTCTTTGTAAGATTAGAAAAATAAAATATGAGAATAAAAAAGAAGAAGCATACACAGATAATAATGCGTGCGGACGTGGCGCAGTGGTTAGAGCGCTTGCTTTAGAAGCAAGAGATCCAGGTTCGAAACGAGCTCTAGATGTATTTTCGCGTCACGGTAAGGAAGGAGGCGTGAACTTTCCGGATAAATTCACTTCCGCGGTGCTCTGTGACAAGTCCGCTAGGTCTTCTTGGGGCACCTAAATTAACTAAAAAAAAAATAATAATAATAATGGATTTCAGCAAAAAGATATTTTTAAAAAATCTTTCAGAAAATTACCTTGTTGAAAAATCTTTTGTTTCAAAAAACAATTTACATTCTTTAAAGGTTACAAACCCGACTCCAATAAAACCTCATTTTAAAAAATTGCAAGCGATGAAAACATCAAAAAGCTTAAGGAAAAAAATTTCAGAGCCTTTTAAAATTGATTCAAAGAAGAAACTTTTTTCCAATATGAGATGGAAATTATTGTTTATTTGGATGGAAACATGTACATAAAACAAGTACATGAAAAGTAGGATGCGGCAACAGGTGAAAATAGTTCTATGCTTTATGAGTGATGTAATACGAGTGGATTCATCAAAACAGAATCCAAAGCGCTTCTTTACATAAATGGGCGTGTGAGGTTTCCTTTTGCTTTGACATGTACATATAAAATCTTGTTTATTGAAATAGCACAAATATCTTTTCAAGTAAAATCGTTCCATATAAGGAAAAATCAACCTTAATTAGTAATTGAAATAAATTTTATTTATAAAAGTGGAAAAAAAAGTCCTAAAAATTTATAATCTAAAAAGAGATTATTTATATTTATTTATAGTTATTTATATTATTCAGGTATGAAAATATGTTTATCACATCAAAAAATAACCTTAAGTCAGCTAAAGTGGCAAAAAAATAAAAACAAAAAAACAAAACAAAACAAAAACAAAAAAATGAAGAATCAAGTCAACACGGAATAGAATACCCCTAACATATCATAATTGACATTATATAAATCTACATTTATATATTATATCAAATGTATTCACTTTTTCTATATACAGTTTATAGATTCATTTATATATATAAACGTAAGAATCTCAATAAAAAATCCTTTTTTTTTAACTTCAATTACTAAATAAAATATTTTTTTAAACGGAATCAAGTTGTCAATAATTCAAATATGGAAAAGATTTGTCAATATTACAAATATGGAAAAGATTTGTTATATACAAATAAGGAAAAGATTTGTTATATAGAAATAAGGAAAAGATTTGCTATCTACACGATTACCTGAAAATGAATAATGTAAAAATGTAGTCTTCCCAAAACATCAGCAACTTTTTTATAACTATTAAAAAAATACTAAATTCATTAAGTAATGGAATATCATTTACTTTTTAGGATTATGGCAAATCCTTATGGCATAGAATTGGTTAGTTTTTAAATTTCGTTTTGTGTAATCTTATTCCACGTGGCTTCAACAACTTTGTAAAGCTTATCAGCCTTTTTGAAAAGTTTTAATTTGATACCGTTTATCAATCAGATTGAGATCCAGTGGTTAAGTTGGCCAATTCCATTATAACCAGAAAAACAACTCCGAATAATAGCATCTTTTTCACCACCGCGTATTGAGGAAAGTTTACATTTTGGTTCAAATTGCCATCAGAATCATACAAACTGTACTTTGATTCAGTGTTCCTTTTTTCCAACC